GGCAAAAAAATAAAAAATGCTATAAAACCACAGGAACACAAAGTTGCTATTGTGAATATGCAGCAATACATAGCGACATATACAACAAGCCGGCACATGCTGGCTTTTTGCGGAATTCTTGAGTCGGCACTGTACGTATATATACCGAGTTAGAAAAATAATAAAATCTTTGTTACTTGTTTAAGATTTTGAAGTTTAGCTCCCATTTCAGATTCAAGCTCAGAAGACGCCTATAAGCAGTAAGATCGGTAATCAGGTTTTGTTTTATATGGTGCCACCCAAAAATTTTTCTGTGCACCTAATTTCTTAGGTTGGGTGAACCAGTGCACCTATTCCCAAAAATGAATTTCGAGCCCTGCCAGAACCTTCTGTCCAGTCAACAACCCTAACAAGACCACCAAAAGGCCTTTATGGATTGTAATGATATTTGGGTAAGACAATTAAAGATCAGAAAAAGTGTTTTAAACCCTGTAGTTGCATACAGATTGACTTGATACCTGTGGGGCACTTGTAGCCACCAGAAAGGCGTTGGTCCTCCCGGGATGATCGTAGTCGTGCATGGCGGCCGCGACGTACAGCGCCATCAGCTCCAGCGCAGGAAAGTTCATTCCCAGGATGCCGTAGCTCTCCTCCACGCCCGTGAAGCTCGCCCGCGGCGTACGGAGCCCGGGGGTCGGGGGAGGGGTCAGCGTGTTGGGATCTACCACAAAACAGAAATAACATTAATGAGGGCCTGCATATTATGCAACATTTTCACAACATGGCCATTACAAATTAAATTCCCAAAGATGATTACGGACAATTATGGTTATTATGGTTGTAATGTAAGGTTATTATGTTTGGTTGGATTCTTTATGTTACCTTATGATTAATTGCACACTTGTATATAGTGATTATTTTCTTCTTATTTATTATTGTATTTTATCCTCTGTTACTTTGTATTTTACTATGTTGGGGTTTACCTCCCAGGTATCATTGAAAAACGCCGACAAGGCGATATGTATCACCTGGATAAATAAATGAAATGAAATGTAATGTACTGATTACAAATTACGCTGATTTTGGACAGGGTCTACTGATTACGCCTCACGAAAAAGTCATGCAGGCCCTCATTATTTCACCCTGCTTTTTATGTACATGTATATCAAATGTTAAAAGGCCATTTGTGGCTTAACTATTCAGGCTAGCGCTATTTACTGCTTACAACTACATGTATCTACCATCCAAAATTTGTGACCCTAGCATGTCTAAGATATCAAAACCAGACGTTCTGCTGCAGCACCTAAAAAAGCCACAAGGGGGCCCCAAATCTAATTATTTCGAGATCTGAAGACCTACCCACCTACCAAGTTTCATGACAATCCAGTTAAAGTTTCTTGAGTTATCGTGCTTAACCACACACACACACACACAAACACAATGGAACACATAACCTCCTTGGTGAAGGTAATAAAACAAGAAATTCAGAAAAACTAAATATTTCACGGAGGAATGCAAATGTTCAGTTTCTTGGTCCCACCTTTGCTGACTGGCTCGTCCTCCTCCAGTGGGACCTGAGTAAAGCCGGGGATGGGCTGGGTCGTCAGCCACCAGCAGGCATGCAGCACGTCTGCAGCATGCACCCTGTTATGATCTGTAAAACCAATAGGGGGTGTTACTGACACATGAAGCACATTCAAGCATTTTAAACAATTGAAAGTCCTTCTCAGGCATGCAGCAAGTCTGCAGCGTGGACCCTGTTATGATCTGTGAAACCAACAGGGGGCGTCACTAACACATGAAGTACTGATTCAAGTGTTTTAGAAAAAATACTTTGCAGGCATGCAGCACATCTGCAGCGTGCACCCTGTTATGATCTGTCAAACCAACAGGGGGCGTCACTGACACATGAACCACTGATTCAATCATTTTAGACAAAGTACTTCCCAGATTATATGGTGTATAGAGCGGTGCCCATCTGCCTTTCATAGCCCTTGGGATGCTCAATTTTGGAAGGAGTAAAACTTGGGGCTTAGGTCAACTGCGTGTGTGAGATGTGTGTTTAGATAACAAGCTCTGCTGAATGCTAAACAACAAACAAGACTGGCAAGGAAAACATACATTGCCATAGCGACGGTGGTTGCTGTTAGGGTTATTGTTTGCATGGCACTGCCATCATTTCATGATTTTGAGGAAGACTTGCAATTGGTACCTCTGTTAAGTCTAGACAGATACAGTGCACTCCTCCCCTGAGTGTATAGTGAACGGGCCCCAGGGCACAGAAAGTAGGGCCATCTGGGGCAGACAGATCTTCAGGGTTCCAATGTGGGCATAGATGTGGGTCAGAGAAATGCCTGTGGACATTCCGCATGCCTGTGGACAAAATGCCTGTACCATTCCTAGAATTCTTGCGAATTGCACACAATACTGTACCATTAGGCTCCTCCCTGAGACGTCGCCAAAAAAAAATGTACATGTACATAATTTTTAATGGATTAATCTAGACAGGGCTTGAACCGCTGTACTTACATGGAACATCGCGGTATCCATTTTCCAGAGCCCTGAAGTAACTCATGAACTCGTGTTTGGGCACACGGAATGCCTCAAACAGACCCGTGTCCTGGAATACTCGATACGCCATCTGAAAACAAAAAAAACTTCAATCTTTAAAAACTCAACTGAATCAAAATCAAACAATCATATTAACATCGATATCTACTGTAATTTACTTTGTCTTTACTGTAGGAAAATTTGACAAGCTGAGAAAAAGCGACATATTCACGGAATAAGTTTGCGGCTTATATTGCATATATAACATACCGTGACAAATCTGGAATCTCAGTAATTAGTCTAAAAGTCACAGTTTCATTTCTCTTTTCAAACCTAATGTAAATATCTACAAAAAATTGTAGATAAAGAGAATGTACCATACTTACCATACTGAGGATGCAGTCCTTATATTCCATTTCCAGGTCAAACACAGGGAAGTCCCACTCGTATAGACGCTCCAACAGAACATTGTCATCTACAGTTTTCAGGTACTCCTCCATAGACACAGCCTCCTATACCGTCAAAAATCATACAAAGATTTTGGTTATGTCTATTCATCTATTCGTTCCCTCGTTTATTCATTTTAAATTTTTGCTCACACTCATTTATTCATTCCATAAAACATAGACAGAATCAAACCTTTACAACACAATACAAAGTAAACTGCAACTAGATACAGACCTCTATCTGACAATAAGGCAGCAAACATACATGTACTTAATGCTCTTAGGACTAAATTGCAATATGAAAGAAAGATGCTAGATGGCTCTCTTCTTCTGGTAAGGAATCTGCATTAAGAACTTTGTCAACGCCAACCAGCATAAAAAATTATGATTAAAAAAATTGAAAATTTTGTTGTAACTGTTCATTTGTTAAGCACAATTATCAGTAAAAACATATGAGATTCTTCTAAGAATCTTGAGTTTTTTTCTGACCTCAGTGTCGTCTTCTTTAGTTTCGTTCTGTGTGACAGTTTCGTCTTCTGTTCCGTCAGGTTGGTCGGGCTCCACGGCGGGACATTCCTCTCCCTGAGGCAGGTTGTCGCTGCTGTCGCTGTTATTCGCGTCGGCGCTATCGTAGTCCGACGTGACCTGCCTGCCGGGAGAATCCGTCTCTCGCTTCTCTTGTTTCTCCGCCGCGAAGTTCTCCAGACTGGACTGGTATCTTCTCCTGATCAGGTCAGTTTCGTCCGACAGCGTACGAGAGTAAGGCGAGGGTACCGGCCGCGTGGGCGAGAAATCTCCCGAAGCCCACGAGCCCCGTCCTCGCCGGAACGGCGCGTTCAACGGCATCGTACCGAACGCAGAAGACGCGGAGGTTGAAAATGAGCGAGGCTTAATGTAACCCAAGCTGTTACCTAGAGCAGGAAATAAAGGACAGAATTGTTTTTTGGAATCATTTTTTTTAAATCTTAACAATTGGGTTAGTCACGTTGCATTTATTCATAAATGTTGTCAATAAGCATTGGACAGAAATATTCCATTAAGTAGTAACTTGCAACATACATTGTACAGATGCACAATATTTAAAGGCAATAAAGGAACCCCTCTATATCTAACTTGAAAATTATATTCCCATTCCCAGAACTTAGAGCTCATTTCTCTTTTTCCTTCAAAATTTTGGTCAATTTTTCAAAAGACTTTTACTAAAAGTCTTTTGAAAAATTGACCAAAATTTTGAAGGAAAAAGTTTTAGGCTAGGAGGAGGAGTCAAAATTTTCCCAGTTTTGTCAAAGTTTGTTCATTTTTATTTACCAGTTACAGGCGGTCCCTCGCGCGGTTGTCTCAGACTGGCGCTGCGCATTCGGGACGGTTCGGGTTCCAGAGTCGGCATGCCGGTCGCTGAGGTCGTTGTTGTCCACGTTGTTGACATACGGCGGATCAAGCTGATTGGCAGGCTGCGACGCAATCTCTGTAAAGCATGGACAGAAGGGTACATAGTGCTGTGCAACAGCATCACCTACCAGATTTATCTTAAACTGCAGCCAACTTTTGTAAGCATCCAGTTACTGTAGTACCTTATTGGCCAATTATGACTTGTATCAAGTGTAATAATTTTCATGAACGATAGGGCACATATTGCTGTTCAACAGCATCACCTAGCAGATTCATATCAAACTGCAGGCAGCTTTTGGAACTACCCAGCAATACTTTTTTAGCCAATGTAGGACTTGTATCAATTTTGATTAGCATTTAGGATTTATTTTTCTTCTTAGAAATCTATAAATTCAGATCAGCTTATCTCACTAAGAGATGAGCATTAATTGATTAAGAAATAAAATATTTATGTAGCATTTAAGGGTGGAACACAAGACTTGTACTGGAACAGATAATCTCTTTAGAGTCTTTTGCACAGTAGAAGAAAGGTAGCCCTAAACCTCTTTGGACCGGTTTGGACCTGAACCAAAACAAATACTACTAATTGCTTCATCCCACACAAACACAGACTGAAGCAAAGCAGATGTTCCAAAAATAGTCTCTTGCCAGAAGTTCTATTTTTGCGCCAATTTTGTCATTTTGTCTAGGGAAAACTGAGGGCTTATATGTGCCCTTTTCTGTGAAAGTGTAAGCAAGCTATTTTCCAGGGAAAACAATCTGTAGCAAGGATTTGGAGCAGGATGTCCAATTGTGTCATTGTGGAAGTTCCTCCTGAATTCAGTGTAAAGCGGTGTTCGAGCAACCCAAAAATTTTTCCTGTCGTCTGAATTCTGTTTGCTCACGTCTAGCGCCAAAGGGCGGCAATCTTACTATAAGGGGGTGCAGGGGCACCCCTGGAAAAATGTGAAAACTTTGTTTAATGACGATCTCTTTCCATATCTTTGCACACTGATTTTTGTCCATCAAAGATGACGGATTGGGCAAAATTCTTGTCTGTGGTAAGCAGCAAAATTCCATGCAATGACGGAAAGATGGATGCTGGCTAGAACACTAGTGTAAAGTGTTATCAGGACCCCCCCATGGAGGCCCCCACATTAGCGAACACATATACTGAGCACAAACCTTAGGTAGTGCAGAGGGTCGTTCCCCTGTGTAAGGGGATAGGGACTCCTCTGTGTCAGAAATGTTCCCAGTTTCTGCCAGTTCTACCAGGTAGTTCAGCTGCTGTAAGAGAAAAAAAACAAGCTTGTCTTACACAATCACATCATATTGGTACAAAATTCATTATCTGTCAACTTTTTTGTCACAAAGGTTATAATTATTTAGTGGTCACAACTTTTAGCAGATATCTTTTCAGACACAACATTTGAAAATAATAGACGTGAATAATAAACGAAACATTCTACCAAAGTGTTGTGTAAGTACTGAGAGGGTGTGCAGTAGACTGAACATACCTTGGGTTTGTGCGAGTACTGAGAGGGTGGACTGAGGAGGTTACTGTAGACTGAACAAACCTTGGGTTTGTGTGAGTACTGAGAGGGTGGACTGAGGAGGTTACTGTAGACTGAACATACCTTGGGTTTGTGTGAGTACTGAGAGGGTGGACTGAGGAGGTTACTGTGGACTGAACATACCTTGGGTTTGTGTGAGTACTGAGAGGGTGGACTGAGGAGGTTACTGTACATACCTTGGGTTTGTGTGAGTACTGAGAGGGTGGACTGAGGAGGTTACTGTACATACCTTGGGTTTGTGTGAGTACTGAGAGGGTGGACTGAGGAGGTTACTGATGGTCCGTAGCCCACTGATGACAGTTGGGGGTAGGCAGGGGTCTGTCAGCATGTCTGTCACCATCCCGTGGGCCTCCCGCATCAGTTCTGTATCCACCACACTGTGCAGCTGCAGGTACAAACAACAGAAACAAGGTTTACTTAATGGAGTCGAACTACAAAAAGTACAAGGCTGGGACTAGAACACACCACGCTGTATACATGTACATTGTAGCTGTATCAAATGTGCAGACAATAGAAACAAGATTAAGATAATGGGAAAACTAAAAAGCTGAGATTAGAACCCAGAACCTCTGGTCCAAATGTGATTTTGCATTATAAATCAATAAATAAATGAGTCAATGAATGAATGAATAAATGAAGAAAGAACAGAGTTGGGATTAGAACCCAAGACATCTGGTTTACAATTCATCTTGCTAAAAATAATGAAAGAATAAATAAATTGAGTAAATGAATGAATAAAGACAGGCTGTGATTTAAAAGCAGGGCCTTCGGATTACTAAAATTGGATGTAGAATTAATGAATCCTATACACTTGTTGTAAAATTAATACTTTTTTCAAGTGAATGGATGTCAGGAATGATAAAAACATTATATGTGAATAAATTAATATGTACAAGAACAGAGAGCCCGACATTTCTCAAATTAAGACAAAATCTATCATGACCTATTTCGGGAAGGTCAGACAGAATTAGATATCTCCTGCAGTAATCCGTGTGTTAATGGTACATCAAATGTCACAAGTTTTATCAATTTAGGTCAATCCCACACAGATAAGTACTTGTAATGTAGTGACCTACATAGAAGGCTAGGATAGCCTGTGTATGTATGTGCAGGTACATGTACAAATGTATATGTGTGGGAGGAGGGCAACAGGGCAATTCTTCTTCAAATCAACAGTAAATGCAACCTGTTTTTCGTTTCCTGACAACTGCCACCTTCTTGCTATCAGGCTCTAGGTCAGCTTTTGGGACCCCATTTCCTGTTCCTGAACTTTGGTTGTTTGTTATGTGAGGAACCCCCCACATGTGCTGGCATTCAAATACTTACGGACATAACACACAACAGTTTATGCCACCTGTCTTTCTTTTGCTGTCAACTGCCAGCTTCTTGCTAGTTTCTGGGACCCCATTTCCTGTTCTTGACCTTTTGTGGTCTGTAGTGAAGTACCATCAACCACCCAATGTGTTGTCATTCAAACACAATGTGAACACAACACACACACATAAACACACCTAAAACAGTTCTCTATGAATATTCCTAAGACTTTCCTATGAGACTTTTATCCTACAATGCTCGTATGTTTCTGGTGATCTCTTTTATATCAAGATTCAGTCCTTGTAGCAAGGGTTTACATATAAAATAGACAACATTCAACTAGCACAAATTGCCAATACTGTAAAATTCCACAATGGGAGAAAAATCCTTTTAGTTTAAGGTGGGATTTTTCCTGAAAATTTTATCTCTGTCTAGGTTCCCTACAAATTTTTGGTTTCAAGCCACCATTAAAAAGAATGTCTGCTACAGTGACATATAACTTCAATTTGCCGTGATCATTCTTCCGCTATCATCTTCAGTAATTTCATTTTCCTCGTTGTCTTCCTAACTCCCTTAAACCCCCCATCCATAATCGCATCCCTCTGCCAGCTTACGATTTCTCTGCGCTACCTGCTCCGAGACAAATCCGGCTTACGCTCTCTTACTGTCTGCCGGGATTTTCTAATAAACAAATTGCACCAGACGGCTTCGAAACGCCTGTTATGAACAATTAGGAAGACGTCGGGATAGAAAAAGTTTGAACTTGATACATATTTTTCACCTAGTGTGGTTTTGTAAATTGAGGACAAAAGGTTGTACGCCGACGTTGCAAAGTCGTTCAACTTCATCAGGGTTCTTGTCAGCGTAGCAGACACATTCATTGTCGGATATCAAGCCTGAAGGGTAACAGTGTCATGTGTATGAACCCGTATAGGACTTGAAAATACTTTTTCTGCATATGTACATGTACAGTTGAATGTTAACATTCAAAACTACTTGTACCATACAATTTTTACCGCTTTCCTTTTGATTTTATAGTGAATAAAAACATTACATTTTGAAGGCCATTGGTAGCACCATTTTGAATCTTATGAATTTGTAGTGCCATATGATAAATTATAAGATACAAGCTTCATAAGACAGAACTTTAAGTTTTGATCTACTCACATCAAAGGTTTAGGAAGGACCCCTTCTCTTTTCGTAACTGCAGTGTATATACATGTAATATGGTGGGTGTTTTAAATACCTCAAAATAATACATGCAGGTAAAATTGGAATTATGCAGGAATTTCGATATCTAACTGTACCAGAAAAAAATATAAAAAATCAAAGCTATTGCCTACATTTTGAATGTTTTTTTTCCATACTGACTTGTACCATGTTTCTAGTTTGCTTTCACTTCAATCAAACGGGTGGTGCCGGTATAATTTGTCTGGTGCTACAAAAACCACATGTAAATTTCCAGCCCTTAAGACACAATTTCATTGTAGGACATCAACCTTAAAGGGGAGATGTAAATCAACACACCTCTGCCAACCCCCTGGAAATGAGATAGCCCAAAATTTGGCAGTTAGAATGAAATCATTACTGTTAAATTGTGTTACAGTCAGTTGGAGGCATGCCCCCTGAGGTAGTAGTAATTCAAACTGGGAAGAAAATATTATCCTGTATACATGGATAATTTGGCCCCAGCAGCTACTATATCAGGATATCATATAGTCGTTTCCAGGAATTTTCAAAGACCTTAAGTTAATTTTCCAGGTAAAAGGGATCAAATTCTAATGGCTTGAAAAGCATAGTCAAAAAACATTGGGATATTCTACGAAACCCATTGTGTAATCTAAATGTCCATGTGACTTCCTCCTTAGGCTAACCCAATTCAATAATGTGATAAATATTCTAGATGATGTTTGAAAAGGTCAACAAAAATTCTGAAGACTTTTAAGACTTTTATAAAATATAACAACTTGATTGGATAAATTGGATAATTTTTCCACCTAAGATATCATGATAGAATTAGGCATAAAATTACAGATTGGGAAAAAAAATGTTTTTCTCATAATATGTTCTACCCAAAATCCTAAAAGGATGCAAAATACTACAATGTAGTTTAAATGATGCCTTAAAAATATCAAACAAACACTGTATTACCAAAGAACTCAGATTATATTTCTCTTGTTAAAAGTTATTGAGTAAGATCATCCTGCTAGCTTGGATCTTCAATATCTAATATAATATTCAACTCAGCTATCTAAATTTACACCCCAGTCAAAAAAATTCTGGACGTGAATTTCTTAAAACCAGTTTCGACATCATTCCAATTTATGATTCAATATCCGAGTAAAATGGCTCAGACATAATAGGCTTTTATTATAGCCGGTTTACGAGGCCCTAAATCGGATGTTCCAGGTAATCTTCACACCGTACCTGGAACTGAGTCTCATCTTTTGGGGAATGACTGATGATATTTTATGTGGGAGCACGCAGAAGTTATTCAAGTCGTTAAAATAAGCAACTTTTCCAAATTATCACTTTCAAAAACTTGCAGTTAG